GGATCCATCAGACATCGAGGCAGCACCTACAGACCTTCCTATAGATGTCACTCAGCCGACGATCGAAGAAATCAGGATGGCCATCAGACAAGTCAAAAGTCGGAAGACAACAGGATCTGACGACGTACTAGCCGAAGCACTGAAGTGAGATTTAGAAGCAACTGCAAACATGCTCTACGTTCTACCCAACAAGATTTGGGGGGAAGAAAGAGTGTCGACATACTAGAGAGAAGGATACCTCATCAAGATACCAAAGGAAGGAGATCTGAGTAAATGTGAGGACCACAAAGTCGTGACACTACTATCAGTACCAGCAAAAGTTTTCAAAAGAGTGTTGCTGAACCGGTAAAGACTCAGTAGACGTCCAGCTTCGACATCAACAGACCGGATTCCATAAGGATCGATCGTGCACTGACAAAGTGCGATACTATGGATCATCGTTGAACAATCAGCTGAGTGGAACTCGTCACTACACATCAACTCTCTTGACTATGAGAAAACGTTTGCCAGCGTGAATAGGAGAACTTTGTTAAACCTGCTTTTACATCATGGTGCAAGCGACAAAATCGTTAACATCATAGGAATTCGTAACGGAATACACTGAGGATTCGTGCAAAGAGCACAGTTGACAGACGTATTGCGAGTAAGCCAAACAAGGCTACCCACTATCCTCCTCGATGCGCTTCAATGTTACCAGTGCAAGATTTTTTCGAAAGGTATTTTTGTCACAGAGTATGACTTCAAATCGTAGGGTACCGGCACTCCTAAATCTTTTTCAACTTGAGATACTTCTAGAGAGGAGTTTCTTAAGTTGTAGTTGCAGTCTGAAAAATGTCTCAGATGGACTACTTTACATTTTGAAGTGTTAAAGATAAGTCCGTTGTCATACGCCCAACTTTGAAGTCGAATCAGATCCTCCTGAAGTGCCTGTATATCGTCTTGGTTGCGTATCTCTCTCCAAAGTTTCACATCGTCGGCAAAAAGTAATAAGTCTGACGATACCTGTTGTGGAAGATCTTTTATATAAATCAAAAAGAGAAGAGGTCCTAGTACCGAGCCCTGAGGGACCCCACTAAGACATTCTATAGCCTGAGAGAAAGTGAAGTTAACCCTGACCTTAAAATGTCAATTTTTTAGATATGAAGTGAGCCAATCAATTAGAGGTGATTTGATACCCAATCGTTTGAGCCTAATAATAAGACATGTGTGGCTGGACATTTTAAAAGCTTTTGAGAAGTCAAGGTAAATGACATCAACCTTAAGCTTGCGATCAAGGATGGTTGTCCATCTGTCCACCGCAGTCAGCATGTTGGTCATACAAGAATGAAACTTCCTGAAACCATACTGTTGAAGCGAAGATAAGTTTAAGGATAATAAATAGTCGTGCATAGCGTCGCACATCACCGACTCCACAATTTTTGGAGGTATAGAGAGAAGAGCCACCGGTCGGTAGCTTGAAGGTTCGCTGCGTCGACCTCCTTTGAAAATTGGTGTGATGTGAGCCAGCCTCCAAATTTCCGGTAGTTTGCCTCGGCTTAGCGATTGTGAGAACATCACGCTAAGCGGTGCTGCCAGGAGTGAAGCTGCCTCCCTCAGTATAGCAGAATGAACTATATCCGGGCCAGGAGAAGTGTCTATTTTACGTGCTGTAGTTTCCGGACACAACAAGTCAGAGCTCAGGTTTACTTTGAAAAGTCCTGTGAAGCTTTCATCAATATAGTTGATGTGGGCCGATTGAAATGTCCGAGAGTATAGTCTAGCCGAAAGGTTAGCGGCGTCACCGTCGTTACTGGTTAGCTTTGATACCTGAAACCGTACTGAAACAACTAGAATTGAGCAGTTGCTTTATGCAAGCTTGTGAAAAGGTCACAAAGTCACGAAATAGACTGTGAGCTCTTAGTTTCGATTTCAAATTGTGTTGATCTGAGGCCTATTTTATTTCTGGTTGTTTCTGAGTGCATAGCTTAACAAATGTTAGTGAATCGTGTGCACTTGCTGGGCTGTTGACTGACCTCCTCCCTCGTTCCCTATTTTTCTATCTCTCCTCAATCACACTATTCAGCATGCTCCCCTAGCGCACAAGTACCTTCTGGCTAGACGTGAGCCGTTCAATTGGATATTGAAAGCTATTTGAGCGCGTAATCACCTTCAGGGTCGTTTGCTGTACAAAGTATGTGGTCTAACTTGAGATATTTTCTGGTTGGCATATTTTAATTTTTTAAGGTTTAATTTGATTATGAACTCTTCCGTTTTTGGGTTAAAGTGTCGAAGCACCTCTGTATGACTAAATTCTCGATTCATTCAATGACTTGATAATGTATTAGTTTTGTTTCCTAAGTGTCTTTCAAATACCGAACCTATCACAAAGGAATTCTTTGTACGTTGATTGGCTTTTAAGGTTTTACGGTTATAGGTGCTTGGCACTTATCTGCATGAATAAGTGATTTGTACTGTGATATTGGTTACACTAAACTTCACGCCATGACAACTTCATGATTATTTATTCGTTTAGTGTGTTTTAGGTCATAGTCGAGGGTGATGATAAATACAAATATTCGGACATCGGTGAGATCTCCTCTTCTACTCCATATACCCAAATACACTTGTTGGTTCGTGCTCTTTAAGGACTTTTTATGGTTTTATTTACTTACCCTGATATATACATAGTAAGGTCAGTTACTTTACGTGGTATGGTGAGTCTAAAGTTGCTCCACTGTCTTGTGGATTATTCCTTTAGACAGAAGGCTGCGGGTGTGCCCCCCCTAAGAAAACCACCTGCTTAGGTCTGGGTCCTCGGGCAATATCACAGCCCATACACGAAATGACAATTAACATTGTAGATACTATTCTTGCTTTAATTAAAATTCAGATAATTCCCATTCATTCGGTAACATTTTTATTCTTTTATATACTACTTCGCTTATCTTCTCTCGTCTATTCTTACTTTGTGTATTCTTATTTTTCGACCTATACAGCAGCTCGCCAATGGCGAACACCCTGTTCTATCTAAACGATCTCAAGTCACTGGTAGGTCGAGAGTTGAATGATTCTACCGACTACGAATACTGACCCAGTCTTGTTGAAAACACTTATGCGTTCGACAGATATTGTAGTACTAGCCAGACACTTGAATATTCAGATCGGGCATCCAATCACAGGAGAGAGTCTTTTAGGTGGATGATGGGGACTTGCTGGTGCACTCTATTCTTGTTTAACCTTTTCGTTGACGTGCTTTTGGAGATAACACTTTCATCATCTAAATTTCCAGGGGTTGAACTAAACCGGGAGATTAACTTGTTGACTGAGAATACGCCGATGACATAGTTCTATTTGGTGAGGACGCTGACAAAATGCAGAGTCTTCTGACCACTCTAAGCAACAATGCAAGCATTTTCGGCATGCGATTCTCCTCCTGGAAATGCAAGATGTTGCTTCAGGTTTGGGTTGTATCGACACCCGAACTATTGACAGGGAGTGGAGTAGTTGAGCGTGTCGACTGTTTCACTTGGGAATATGATCAGCCCTTGTGGTCTGGTGTGTGACTAGATCTCAGCACGTATACAGAGGGCTCAACTAGCTTCTGCCAACTTGCGTCATTTGTGGCGTAGGCGAGATATCTGTCTATCAACCAAAGGACGTGTTTACTGCGCAGCAGTTCGTTCCGTCCTACTTTATGGCAGTGAAACATGGTCGGTAAGAGTAGAGGATATTCGTAGGTTACTAGTATTTGATCATAGGTGTCTTCGAAACATTACTCGTATATCATGGGACCATCGAGTAAGTAACACAGTTGTTAGGAAACGGGTACCAGGTAAGGATGGCAAATCAATTGATGAAGTAGTGAAACTTCATCAGTTGAGATGGCTGGGACACGTGTTACGTATGCCATGTTGGTAGGTGTAGACTACCTGGTTGGGATCCTCGAGACGATAGCAACGGATGTTTAAAGACCTTGAATGACATGGCTCAAAATCGTTTGCAATGGCGCAGGTGCATCCACTCTTTGTGTTCTCCCAAATCCTAATATCCTGATTCCTCTTTGTCTCTTTCTTTTCTCTTCCCAAACTTATTTCACTAGATTATACTCTTTGAACAACATCTCCAAACCCTAATCTTTCCGATTACTACTTATACTCGTACTACCTCTACCACAATGGGATTTGAATCGACAACTGCATCTCTGTGCTAATGTGGTATGGCAACTCGCACTGATGTACGAATGTACGAAGTTCTACGTTGTTGCTGATTGACCGACTGAAATCCTATGATAGCCAGTGATCAACAACTGGTTCATACGTCATTTGTTTCTTTAGGACCCTGGGGCCCGTGTGCGGAATCAGGGTTTTCCAACTCCCTTAGATGGATCCTCCATATCCACCAACCCGGTTAAAGCTTTGAACATTCACTTTTCGTCCTCTCAATTTCGTAAACAACAGGGAGGTCGTTAGTAGGAATTCTTTGGCAGTGGTTGTACGCACGTGGCCACTTGAGAGCATTTCAAGAGGGAGAGCTGACTCCCCACGTCTGATGCATATACTTCTGTGGTATACATCTTGATTATCTCATCTCTCTGTGCTGATGAACCGACGCGAACACATCTCACGTTATAATTCACCTATGAGTAACTGTATATTAATGACTGTATTGGTTAGTTTGTTCAAGCTGGTAGTTATGAAACCATAGTTATATTTTTGCTTGCTCATTTGATTTTTATCATTCTTAAAATTCCTGATCAATATTTGAGAATTTAAATTTAACGAAATACAACTAATCCCAGTGGGTTTAAAAATTCGACGAGATACAAACAGGAACTCGAATTTGAAGCACACAGTATGAAATTGTATTGTGTTGTTATTACAGATTTACCCAACATAAAATATTTGATTTTACATTAAATGTATCACTTATTCAATACAATGTCATTTCTACCTACAGCCCCATCTCAAAAGCCGTTTACCTCTATATTCTATAGACGTCATTTTTTTCACGATATCTTTCTAATGGTGTCGGGATCATTAAGCAACTTTTCTTCCGCAGTCAACAAAACTGCAGGTGAGCTTTATTAAGAATTTTATGTTGTAGGATCTGCAAATGCATTATGTGAACTTGTAGAAAAGTCTCAAGACTTTCTGATTCGTAATGTTCACTCATTAGACTTTATTTTGGATGACTTTGATATTGTTAAATTCGGGATTTTACATGCAGCTGTAATGTTAGTTGTCAGCTATTTCATACTTACAGCAGACATGCCAAATATATTTCACAGTCAGTTGTTGATAAAGAGTGGCTAGTAATCCAAACTCAAAACCTCTTCAATCTCTGTAACGCGGAGTCTTTGCAAAAAATTCCATCTTATGGTAGGTATCTGTTTGTAACTAATATGTAGTCCGTGTAATTTCACATGAATTTACGAACTGCCTGATTAATATGGGAATTCCACACAAGGGAATTAGTTGTATACTCACTGCTATTCACAAACTTCAGAAATGTCCGGGATATCTTACTCCACTGCACTGTGATCTATGCCAGGTAAATGCTTATGTATGTACATGGTGTGCAGCTTGGATTAGCTGCTAAAATGTTTAGTCCCACTCTTCCAATTCTCGATATCGACATTTTAGAAATTGATAAAAGCGTATGTTTTACACGTTTGTGGTAACCAGTTTACGTAGAGTACAGCCCTTGAAGCTAAAGATTATCTCCTATACTTTTACTATGGAGGGATGATTTATGGCGCAGTAAAAAATTGGGTAAGAAGCCTACACTTCTTTGAATTGGTAAATTTGCTGTTCATTTAAAGCATATAATTTTAGTGTTTAATTATCCCTGCCGTATCATCAAGCTGTATTCTGATTGAAGCTGCAAAAAAGATAATATTAATCTCCTTGATATTACATGGGAAAGTGAGTTACTCTATTTTGTACTTTTAATCACATAAAGGTGCTTATTGTATACATTCCAGCTAACTTAATAGCACATAGCCCACAATTCACCTGACGAATACAATAGTTTATGCCAGTAGCTATTCTTCTTGATTATTAGTGTTACGAATACTCAAAAATCTTTCCGGATACCAACAAACAAATGGCACAGTATTTATGAATACTGGTCTGCTAAATCGAGACCAGTTTTTTTATCGGAAATTTCCCGTAGAGGGCATTTTACCAACAATTAGGAGAGTTTTACTTATGAAATTTTCAAGTAGCATATTGTTAGTTTGATACTTATTGGTTCTGTATCAAAAAGGTCGTCTTAAACCCGATTGTCTCACTATTTACTAAACCGTGTCAGTAGCATGAATAAAAATATATTGACCAGATTTAAAGTCTGACTAGTATATCGTCCGAACTTTCGTTTACCTAGCCTTCAGGGACACTATGAGTTTACTAATGATACTAACCGGCTCCCCAAATTAAAGTTGGTGGAGATGAGTTCGAACACAGGGACTATCAATTATATTATCCCTACTTCTAAGTGACCATCTGGCTATTATCACTAACATTATCATACAAAGTAAGACCTAAAGCGGAATAAAAAGACTTGTTTCTTATAAACAGGCCAACATACTAATGTTGATATTATATTATGAAACATGAGTGATGTCAAAGAACATTACGATTAGTCTTAAACATGAAGAGTGCAAACTATATATCTTACAGCGATCATAGCTATGAATAATGGTCCTTAGTTATTGGTGATTACACTTTTGGTGTAATTTGTTAATAATAGGCGATCAGTTTTTCATGGAACCGTTCAATAACGAATCTTTAGGTCTTGTTTTCTGTCATGTGGTTGACTTCAGTTTTCGGTAAGTTTCTAAGCTATTTGAACCAAATTGTACTTATGGTTTGCTACATCTTATTGCCGTTAACTTTTAGTAAGCCTCCTCATATTTCCAATACTTTCAATGCTTCTAGTTCAGTACAGTTCTTGAAACTCCGGTTGCATATTTCATGTCTCCAAGGCCTTGGAAAGTGAGTGTGTTGGTTTTAATCTTCTAATTTTATTATTAGCCATCAGTATGAATATAAGCTTAACGATTTTTTAAAGCAATATGTCTGCGATGATTTCTTTGCCTGAAGATCTGCATATTTTGGTGATTCCATTGTATGAGAACACTATTGGAGTGGAATTTATGATATTCACTAATAACGGCAGATTCTCACCATTAAACAGTTAAGATGCTCACTTTTGCTCTGTTTGCTTGTTTCTTTACGGGAATTAAGTAATGTCTTCAACCGGTACCCACTGATATATACCAAGCTTTTCATATCTATCGTGTGATTCCCCACAGCCATGTTTATACATCTCCTCAGCGTATTAATATGGTAATTGTGTTTAATTACCATAAAAATTATTCCGTTTTCATAACGGTCTTAAGGTTTTTCTTTTTATTTAACAGGTGCAAAGTGCATTTTATGTTTTCAGTCATAGTTTTCAGAAGCAACTGCACTTCAATATTTTAACATTTAAATAACTACTGATTAACAAATACTAGACTGGTGTGGTTGAGTAGATAAATAAGCGCAAACTGAGCATCGAAATTCGTCATACATAGTAATACACGGTCCTAATTTCGAGTACAGGTTTCAGTAACATGGTAAATTCGTTTAGGAAAACTATTAAAAGAAGTACGTTCCTCTAAAATCTTTCTGTCGGTAAAATCACAGGACTACATTAATTTGAATCACTCTCAGGTATGCACTCTACACCTGACAGGTGGATAACATATAAGAACAATATTAAATTCTCACCTAGGTTGTTCTGAAGACAACATTTCATCAGTCTCATTACCTTACAGAACCGTAACATCTGTTCGATCGGGGTCAACGAATTTCCTAACAGGTTTATTTTTGATACAATGTAAATGAATATATCCGATAAGAGTAAATCGTCACTTCGATGGTAAATAACTTATAAATCTTTAGTCAGATTCTCGAGTTCACTTCTTTGTTAACATGGTTCATCGATTGACCACAACTTTTATGGGAGCGTATTGTAGAACAAGTTCATGATACAAACCTGTACAGGTCAAGAAATTACAAAATATTAGGTATGTTTTTGAAAATTCAGTGATTCACCGTGGTCCCATTGTTTATATCTACAGTTCTCCGACTACTCAAAAGTTTCAATAAAGTCAGGGATGATTATTCCTGAAAGCATTCAGTCTTATTCTAATAGATGCTGTCATATCAGCGGGTGGTATCGAATCACAACCAAAGAGATCTTGATAAACGGAAACACAGGTGCATGGGTATCTTTGAAATCTCACGTAACTGATGTCGACTGTATTTATACGTTTTCTTTCATATAACCACTCATTCATAGTCATTGCTAACTTCCAAAGTAAGGACAAACGTTGAATGGGCGATTAGAGAGATTAATCCAACGACAGAAGCAGATAAACCAAATTGCTTCTAAACATCGTTTGATAAGATCGATGGGAAAATATTCTAGTTTCTGTGTCTTCTGAGACTCCAATTATATACTGGTTGGCTATCGTGATGGCCCAATTAAGCTATAGTAGTAGTTAGAAAAATTGATCTTTTAGATACTGCCATGCCAAAAAATGTCGATGGGAAGTGGTAAGACTAAAAGCAACAAACCTATTATCCGAAGGCGAAGTTTTATTGTTGATAGTACTGCGGTTTGATGATTGCGAGATTTTCTTCTTTGATAATCAGCAGCTCCATCAACACTGCCCTTCAACAACAAAAGAAAAGGATTATAAAAAAACTCACCTTCAAACAAGCAAACCTCATATCATCCCGCATATATCCGTCACCAGGGGCAAAGCTTGAAGGGACGAAGATGTCGGATCAGAAACTCAAAAAGCTGCATGTGACTGGCCTCAAAAAACTCTCGCTTAGACTCTACGGTCACCCTCTAAGTTCTCAAGACAGACCACTATTGACCCAGTTTTCTTTCCAGGCATTTCGTGAATAAATATCTTTCAGTAGCCTGAGAAACCTGAAACTGACAACTGCTCATATACCTCCGACGACACTTGAGCTAATCTTGTTCACGACTAAATCTTATTTCTTAATATGTTTCTATTTGTACCATAAACTCTTTTCCGAATTCGAATTATTTCTCATCGGCTACAAGCTTTTGAATTCATAAAACACATCTTCATCATTTCTGTCTATGCCATCGCCGACTGCATTTTACCTGGTGCTAAAGTTCTTTCTAAATATTTCTCACCTTAAAAAACCAACTCCTTAGGTATTATAATCTTAACTGGTTATTTTAATGCCTGAGTAGATAAGCTAAATGGACATAAAGAATACTTAGATAGGTCCTTTGATTTTTCAGTCCAGCGAGCAAATCAAGTTGACTAGTTGCTTCAGTTATTCTCGGACAACGATTTATTTATAACGAAAACCAGCTGTAAGCTGATGATCTCCAACATCAAGATAACGATGGACACAAGCAAACCATATCGTTATCAGCCGTTTTTCAAGAGACTTGATAGAGGTTTATCTCTACTTCTAGATCATATGTCTAAATTCCAAAAATAGTCTATCGCCGGCTCGTGTTTGCCTGCACTTACTGGTTGCATGTATGTTTTGAAGTTCAGCAATTCTCAATTGATCAAAAGTGACAAAATGAGTAGGATATTCAACGTCCTCAACTATCGTACTCCGTATTCTAAAGTCAAACAATAAAACAAGTACTTAAGCAACGCTGTATTTGTAAATACGAAGTAGACCCAACCACTATTTTGATCTTGACTGAACACTGAACATAGGCTATGCATTCTTTTGAAGAATCTTGAGAAGGAGGAATACCCTGTACGAACGCAAATATCATGATGGGTAAACAACCACGTCAAGTCAGCAGCTATGGTGGAGGGAGAATAGGGAGGTTTGGTCGATTTTACTTAGACAAAAAACCTGCTTAACCTAAAGGAGGATCTCATTTGACCTTCGAAAACTGTCTATTTACTGTTTATTTCCAAACAACTTAAGTGGAAAATCAACATTAGTGACTCAAATCTTATCGAGGCTAACAGAATCATAAATAGCTTGTAACTAGGGAGAGCCAGCACATCGTACAGATTATTTCCGGGTGTATGTAAGTACGTCTGTCTAGTTTAATTATTTCACTTGACTGAGGTCCAAGCTACAGTTTGGAAGCTAAAGGTAATCTTATCAGACTGGTGTTTTTCGTTTTGAAGCACACACACCGACCCACAGTTGTAATATTGCCTCAATCTGAAGGCAGCATTTGACTGCCGCCTATAGTACGAGTATACTGGGCAGCAACTTGGTTTGTCACAGCTTTGAAACCTAATTTTTAAAAGTATGGAAAATTCGTAGGTTACTAGTATTTGATAGTAGACGTCTTCGAGGCATTGCTCGCGTATGTCGAGACCGTCGAATGCGTAATTGTGAGGTTAAACTCAGGTTGCTTGAGAAAGATGGCGAATTGGCTGGTAATATTGTAAATCCTCATCTTCTAAGGTGGTTGGGGCGTGTATTACATATTCTCAACCACCGCCTAATTTAATGTACAATAGTAGCTGGAGTAGCAGTAAATGAGAAAGAAACTGTGGGTGGCTAAACCTAGAAATAGCATCAATCCATCAAGTTATTGACTGTTATGCTCAGCCATATTAGTAGGTCCAGGCCAATCTGGTTAGGGTCCACGTGATAACAGTGATCAGGGTTTGGAGACGTTGGATGTCGTTGCTCAAAACCGTTCACAGTGGCAGAGATGCCTTTACTCGTCACCTTTGCGTAACTCAAGCTTTTGCACTATTTCATGCTTTTTTAATTAGAATCTGTAACTTCTTTTGGATCGTTCTTTCCTGTATCTAGACCTCGTTATTTGTGGCACTTCTATTATTTCGACATTTTTGCAGTTTTGTTGATTAATTCATTTTATTGGGATAATACAGTATACCAGCTTGCGCTAACGCACGTTTGTGCTAAATTCTGTTGATCATGATCGACTGAATCACCATGAAATTTTAGTTATGTACGGTTTCCAGGTGAACAATATTCATGTTGTGGTTTGATTTTCCACAATTTACATTGATCCAGACACAATATCATGAAGATACACCCAATTCAGTCCTGTTTTCTTCTTTGAAATCCTTGTATATTTCTATGAGTGGTAATCTAGTATCCTACATTACTGTGTACATCTCTGTCTATCTTATGTCTATTTCATTCAGACGATGTTACGCTGTCGCAGAATTTTCAGCTTTCACTTCAGCCCTGTTGTCTAGTTCTCTTAGGGATCATTTATTTGTTGTGTTGGGTCTTATTTTTTTTGACCAGCTTTTCTAGTCGAAATATTTGCCTTAAAAGTGCTATTTCTCACTGGGAATTCTAGAAGTTGATTTACCCCACTTATCATCAAACTTGGAGAAATTTTATTTGGTGATTGTTTGAGGCCTTCAATTTCACTGCGTTTAAAGAGAAATCTAACAAATTTTCCAGTATTTATTTCCCTAACTAATCACTAAATTTGGTGGGATTTCAACAACAAATAGTGTTTGAATTTTAAGTGTCATTGTCATGCTCATATTACTGTAGGGCTTTGGAAATTCAGTGATGATGATATAAGTTTCAAACTAATAACAAAGAAGAGAGAAATTAGTTCGAAATAATATATCATGTGGCTAAGTTGTCCAAAAATACCCCTAAGTTGGTCGTAAATTTCATAGAAATGATGATGGGTATGTCTAAAGAAACCTCATGAATATCGTTAACCGTTTTGGTTATTATAAACTGTCTAATAATCCATATAGTGTTGACATACGAATTAGAATATGATTTATTAGTGACTTTTGTTTTTTAGTCGTAAGTTTTGCTCTTGTACATAAATTCATCCTTGTCTAATCTGCAAAAACAATTGCTGCGTCATCATTTTTTAAAAAATTTCTGCCTATTTCAGTGCTACTGTCAACCATATTTAGAACTAGCAACAGCATTTCGATCTAACAATCCTGAGGACTTAACTAATTTTGTCGATCTTCATCGAGAATTATTCACAGCTGTAAGTTTTCATACACACGTAACCTGCCAGTCTTTCATGTATAAATAGCGTAAACGTTTAGCAAAGAACGAAGTACACATAAGAAACTAGGAGAGATAGAACTTTCTACCTCTTCAAGTTAATCGCAAGAGTTATTCATCTGAATCAACAGAATTTTCGTAATTGATATTTAATGTCCACTAATTTACGTAAAATTTGTGTTTCATGTTTTTTCCCAAGTCTGTCTTATCTTGTTGTTGAATCGTGCACTTATTCCCCAACCATATTGTTAATTTTGCTTGATGAATATAATTCTCAGTTTGATGAGGTAGTATGTTTGTAGTTTATTAGAACTAATTTATGCTGAGAATAGGCTATGGCGGATTTCTTAAAAACAAGTTTATGAATATTGTCTGGGTCAGAAACGTGATACATTAAGCATTTTAAAACATCTTCAGGGAACCTTGTGACGAAACCCTCCTGGAGCTTGAAGAAATAGGAAACATAACATCAGATCCTTGACCTGATTAAGGCATAGATGTCTAGGTGAGTGTCGTCATCAATCCGTTTCAAACATGCAAACTTTTTAAATAGTTCCCTCATATAATTTTTTTACAAGATATACTTTTTAATTTTCCAAAATACTTCGAGCGAAACACGAATTATGCATTCATTAGAGCATGAGAGAGGGGCTTGTTTACAAATCTGATATATTCCCAAATATTTTAAGAAAATTAGATTTAGGGGGAAAGCCGATCAAGGCTTTTTGATAAATTAACGTAAGAACGCTCCAATCGGATGAATGGAAATAACTGCATACGTTAAAAAGAGAATCACTGGGTATACTAGCAGCAAATGAGAATAAAGTACAGTTAAAATGCACGTGGATATTTGTTACATAAATATCGTCATATTTATTTGAATGTTTTGGAATACGATTTACGATGAGATTAAATTACTTCAAATTCTGAAACACATTTAGGTCAACACCACCTGATTATCAAGCGAATTCAAATCACAGCACTTTGTATTATTTATTGGCTCATATACTTATTACAGATCTATATAATTGGCTGTGAATTACATTGAAACTTCAAACGCCATTGATACTAACAGTGGACCCAAATCAAAGTAGGTTCGAAACTGCTACTTAATAGCTCTAACTCAAACTCCCAACCACTGAGCAACTGTCCCAGTTTCTGTTACTGGAACGATTCTAATGGAAAATCGTAAAATCATGTTTTAATACCAAATAATCGTCATTTAATTAATGTAATCAAGATTCTTTTAACCCAGTCCCATCAAAATTGTGATATATATTCGTGCATGAGAAAAATTCAGTGTAATCGGATTTTCCTGTGAGAGATTTGCAGTGTTGAACTTATTATTTTAGAAGTAGCCTTCTGATGAGCTCCCATTCTTTTTAGTTTGTGTTGTTACTGGGATGGCTTCGCCTAAATGTTACAGTTTCTTGCACAATGATAGGTTGTTATCTTTTTATGTAAAGTCGTCTGAATTAGTTAATGCATGTACAAAATATAAGTAACTCGTTGAGATGTTTGTATATGATGATGATTATCTTGAAAATTACTATGCGCGTTATTCTGACTTCAAAAGAACATATTCACTTGCGTGCTAAGTCTTATTCCTTACTCGGGTGCTGGGCGGTTCGCGATTATTGAAGTACGTATTGGACAAATCTGGAAATTATTTGTTCGTACATTAGACTAAAAAAAACACTACTACTTATTCTAGTAGTTCAGGAATTTAAGTGGGCTTGTATTCTGTGTTCGACTTCTCTATCTTTAACACATTGTGTCAAGAATCTTAAATTTTCTACTTGTTATTTTTGGTTTTTTTTATTGGAAACACCTAGATTGTAGTAGTTGTTTTATATACCTCTTTTTAAGCTAACATTGTTTCCGTTTTATAATAGGATTTCAACTTCGGACTTGTAAAACAAGTGATAAAGTGCCATGGAAAATTTCGTATCCAGAGCTTAACAAAAGTAGGTTAAATTTGTGCACACATTCGGTCACACCAACTAAATGTATTCGGTGTTTTACACACGAAGCATATTCATGGTCTTGCATTTTGTTTTACATTTTAATATCATTTCGGGAAATATAAATATTTCATGTATGATAAACCCCTCTGAACTGCAAAAAATTCCAAAGATACTTCGTGGAACTATGTAATATAACAAGAACGCTCCCTCATTATTGTTTGGTGTACTTAGTGAAATATTATTGTTTGCATTTTGAACACAATATTATCCACAGATGAAGGTGATCACTACTCAGTTGGTATAAACCTAACTACTGGCACCAACTTCAAACCTGATCTTACCCACCCCGCGTTCAATAGTTGTTTAGCGATCTTACGAGCTCTTTATTTCCATCATTGATTAGTTCTGTTTTATCTTAATACTACACTACTATAACTGCTTTGTTGCTTGAATTTTTTGTGCGTTGATTGTACTTCTATTTTAAAATCACACTCATTAATGTAACCGAAGGACCTGTATTATTACCAAGGTTAAACTTAATAATTCCAAACGTATTGAGCATTCTGTGGAAGTTAATGGTTGAATTCATGAGTAGATTCAAGCTAGACCAAAGTGGGAAGCACTGGATGACCGTTTCGCACAAGTATGGGACTCCTCAGCAGCGCGCATCCATGATCGCGTACTCGGAAATCCGGTCTCGTGCGCGAACGCTTAACCTCTAGACCCTTGTGCTGACAAACCACGATTCTGAGAACAATATTCATGTGCTAATTTTGATTGATATCAATATATATTTCCTGGAGTTCGAGTGAGAAACTGTGACCAGTGGATTTCAACCGTGTCTGTTGTGCGGCAGCTACTCACTAGTGGACGGTCGCACAGTACCGTGGATTGGTTGAAGTCAGACATTGACACCGTCGGATGCCGACCCAGTGGTCTAGAGGTTAGGCGTTCGCGTGCGAGTCTGAAAGTCTTGGATTCAAGTCCCGCGCACTAGCGAGGAGTCCCGTAAAACGACGGAACGGCCGTCCAGCGCTTCCGGGTTCTCCATTTTGGTCTAACTTAAACCCGCTCATGAATTCAACCATTAAATTACTACGGTTTCCACAAACCCTTATTCAGTGGAATGTTTGTAGTAAAATAACATATTTGTGATGTCCCAGTTGGTAGGAATTGAATTTTTATTACTCGGTGTAAACCACTTCAGGGAATAAATCTCCTTTTGTTAATCAATAATAAATCAGATGCAATATCATAGGTTGGTATTGTAACTGTATTATACCTTCAGAGCACAACAGAAATCCAACAAACCCACAAATCACTAAGGCTTTTTATGTCACATCTAACACTATTCGAAATATTTTAGTTAATATAAAAGATAAAATCCCCATCAGCTTAACATAAAATTGTGTCTACAGATTGCGATGCTTTCTGTGTTGAAAAGTCTCGTGAAATTACAGCTCTGTTTTCTTTTTACACTTGATCTTTTTTACTGATAATTACTAATACTGCCAATTCTTCAGAGTAAATAATTGAGTGAATTTGGTCTTTTGGTTTCCCACATTAGACTTTGTGGATGAAATGTCAGTTACCTCAATGAAGAGGTCATTCGAGCAAAAGTAATTGCAGTCTTTTTTTTAATCAACTTCTCCTTCATACTTATTAGCAGCTACGAAAATATCATAACCCTATGACACAAAGTTGTGCTTATGAACAGTTGCATTAATCCTATTCCTGTGACAAAGTGTGCGAATCATCTAATGCCATGTTACATGTGTACAGTTTGCTTCTAGTTTTCGTACTATGGCTGTGATCAAAATACGAATATGCTTGCTAAAATACAGTCAGTCATTACTAATCCTTCATCATTTCACAGTACGGGCATAAATCTGTCAGGTCTTAGGTTCGTTTTGTCATTTATCCCATTTAGATAACGAAATGTCATGTAAATCGTAAATAAGAATTTCTGTGTGGTTATTTTAACGTACGTAAGGATTGTTTAAGTTTTACCACACGGTATTAATTAAACTAATCCATTCCGTTAAATGATTGGGTTTTCAATGTTATCATTATCTTCTGAATGTAAGTTATTTTATTGATGTATTCTTAATAAGCTCTTGATTTATTTGCAGCTTTTTTAAAGCAAGACTGTGTGCGATTTCCACTAATATTCTTACCGTAACGGTGTAGCACTTACGTCCTATAATTGTAGTTCTCATGTTATTTTGATTTCAAAGCATAACTTTGTTATGATCTCTCCTATTACGACCCACCTACTCATTAAATTAGTATTCTTCAGACTCTTTACTTCACTCAATAAGTCCGTAAACCAGAACATGATCGAACAGGAACTTAATTAGGTTCCAAATAAACACGGCTATTTGTTAGCCAATCAGCGTGCCCCAACGCAATCTTGCACGGGACGTGCCGTATTGACCTAATCTATCTCCCGCTAACATTCATCTTTTGGGGCTTTAATTTTTTTATAGTCCCTTTTTACTTGAAAATAATAGAAACCATCCTTTTCGATTCATTCAATTGGTAGACTTTTATGACACTATCCCTGACCGATGTTGCCATGCGTATAAAACTTTCGGGAACCCAAGAAGCGGAGAAACAGATCTTAGATATGGTAAGTACAATTTCAGAATAACCGCAGCAGTAGTAAATTAATAATAATTGTTATTATCTAGACGTGTCTAAAAATTTGACCACAAAATACTGTTCATTCATAACTAAGCACATGTAAGTAACGTGAAACTATTAATGCGTAATCTAATTGTGTTCGAGAATTCTTTAAAGATCAGGTCTTCATTGCTTTTCAGTTTTAGATTGAGATAAAGTTTACCTTATCCGAAAAAAGTCCATTTTTAACTTCTGAAAGTACTATTGATATACAGATTATTGGAATAAAATTTCATTTTCCAGTTGCACTACATCTTATGGAATAAAATTCCAGATTACTATGTCACATCACGAACGCCTAAGCACTTCGACTAGCAATAGACGCACCTTTCGTAATAAATATCTTTTCATACTAAGTTACACCACATTGGAGCGAATTTTGTTCTATAGCTTATTTATATTGAAGGCACCTAAATGACACATTGACGATTGCTTTTCACCGAGGTGATTTGTAGTAATTGTAATATGATTTGTTGTTAAACACTAAATATACTTCAGCATCTTCATGAGTTTCCGACTGTACTCCCATAACAAAGCACATCGTAAATAGCTTCGTTTTCCTATTTGTACTTGCTTTTTCCGCAAAGTGGACTAGCAAGAGTTTTATTCTGACGAACTAGAACTTAATTTGCGTAGTCAGATTGTACATTTGACAAAAGCAGATTATGTGGTGCTCACAATGTTCAGGAGGTTCGTTGTTCTCGACGCGTGAAATCCAAACAATACTTTTTTTGGCGAAAATGCCTAGCACTCTAAGTGAAGATCCCATGTACATTCATGTGTGAGTTTATGACAAAACAACCAGTTTTTCCATTTAAATAAAACTGTTAGTGCATGGAAATATTTAAAACATATCGTCAATATTTACATGTTTTGAAATAATGACAAATTCTCTATTTTTATTGATACATCTCATATTAGATTAATTCAAAAGCAATTTTTGCTAACATTGATCAACAAAATGGGACTGTTCATTTCCTAGATGATCCCGAGCAGTATGACTCGATCAAAATGCTTCGAATTCTTCAGGAAAAAGTAAGCAAGTTATTATTTGATACGATCGACTTTCAGTTGACTGATGTGACATGATTTAACTCCTAAACTAATGTCAATTTCAAGTTGTTCAGATCTTGTGTTACTAGATATAACCAAGGACTAGATAAAATCAAGTGGTATGCAAAAGATGTGGAGTATTAGCAAAGTTAGCGATATTAATACTAAAATGTATTTGGGGAACAAAAGTTCGACTGAATTTAGTGATAAGCACTAGTGTCATAGGTTTCTGATGCAACTGAATGTTTGAACGTTATTCCCACCAATTAGACAAATCTATGCTAGCTAACACTGAACTTCAAAGCAATAAATGTATGTTGAATGACCTCAACCTCAATAGACAACCTAAGATTTCTACGTTTTACGCAGCGCTAAACTTAGTATCGCTTCGAGAATATCGATGATCGAATTCTATCCACATATAGGTCTTTTTTGTTTACAACGGTAGAGGGAACAGTTGAGAGACTAAAATGTTGCTTCCACTATGACCAAAAACCAGTTTGCAATAGTCCAGCAAATAAAGGAAGCCACGTTCATCAAAAACATCTATTCACTCACACAATGGGGTTCAAAAGACTACGTTTTTAGGCACCCTCTTCATCAAATAAAATTGCCTTATCTGCATACATTAGGAAAGTGAATAGCCCTGACAAACGCTACTTTAGTTTCTCAGTATATATAAAAATTCCACGCTTTAACTTGACCAAGTTTTCAGAATACCATCAAAAAATTACCGTCCTAATGCCAGTAGACCGCCACAGTGGTGATGTGGCCAGTATATTTACATTCCGAGACCTGGAGATGAAGTAAAGATATGATCGCCTGTTTCGAGATTCGATCATGACTCAGTGATCTAGATTTTTAATCATTCCTGGACGAATGTGAACAGGTTTCTAGTGTTTCTACTACCTCTTCTATTACTTTCGTTTTTCGTCTTAACTCATTACTGCTTGCCATCATTGTGAATGTATTTTCAAGTGCCCTACTTTCATTATCTTTTTCAAAACCTGCCCATGAATCTCCGAGCATTTATCACTTTAGTAGTCTTTTTATACCTTCTAGGCTAGCGAATAACACTACTCAAGATTTACTCCGCACACTTCATAACACAGGGCAGGGATAAAGACGAAAATAACCACACTAACACCAACAAAAAACTAAGAATGAACAAGAGACCAGAATTTTTTATTAAAATCAGGTGTGGCATTTCCAGTTTTTCAGTCTTTATTCTTCAGTTTTTATTAAAAATAAACTGAATGGACTGCTTTATCATGTGAAAATGCAATATTAGATGGACAAGTAGACACTGAAATCTCTAAATATGCTATCTATATTTGTTAGAAAACAAACGAATTATTCGTCAAGATAATTTACTTTTTTTGGATTTGCTTGATTTTTGTAAATATTTTCATGTTTGTACGTTTTTTAGATAACAGAATGTGCGAATTTGGAGAAGCATTTTATGCAGTTAACTGACCGGCTAGTGACAAATCCAAACTATGCTAAACGAGTACGTTAGCGTTACATTTTATTTAGTACAAATTAGTGGTCATTTTTACTTATAATGGACATGGTTCTATGTATTGTTATATTAACCAAATGTACACAACTCATTCGTACATTATTAAACTTCAAACCATATATTGCTAGTTATTTAGAGATTAATAAATCTGTCTACCACAAATAGGTTCTAATACAAACTTTATTCTCAATCCATGTAGCTGAAGGGTAAACTAATATTAATTATGTCACATTTTTACTTGAGCTGATGGTTCTGATACGTTTGAACGGATATATTCGTATGAGTAATTTGGTACCTCATAAATTTAGACATTGGGACAAAAATCTTTCTAAATAACTGACTCTTTTATAAATATGTTTACAAAACATCATTCTTTAGTTCAGCTAACTGGCTACAAAAAACGATTTTCTGTGGTATTCTTTTGCACTAAGCATTCAAATTACAACTAAATAAGACTCCTACAGTTAGTACTTCAGATTGAGGCGTTAGAAAATGTAAACCCTTAAAATCCTGCAAATTCTCTTGCCTTTCTGTACTTCTCTGTAGCTTACGATTTACGAACACGTAAGTCTTAGATATTAGGTTTTTAAGCATGTAACCACATATGCGTTAACGTTTGTCGACATCTTTTGCGAAGTTAATATCACGGTTTTTCACTTGATATCAAAGCTGTTTGACTGTTTAATATTGGTTCGACAAACCATTCATTCATATAAGAATATATATATATATATAAGTAGCTTTACATGTTTGCCTTCTTCTTTAGATGATCGAGCTGGAAACCAAGGCAGCGAAATCTGCGGGCCAGTATTGAACTCGAACAAAAATGAAGAGTGATGTTGCTTGCATTTTTATTCAGTACTTGTGAATTTAGCGTGCCTTCCTGTAATAGAAAATAAAATTAAAAAGTCACTACGCTCGAATATCCATTTCATTGTAATATTTTCGTAGTGTCTTTACACAACTCAGAATATTCTTTAAATGTGTGCATCAAAGAAAACGTAGAGTTTAGAAATAATTCTAGACAAGTCATAATTATTATGTTTGGGACTAACGGTCGAAATCAATTTACAGGTAAGTAGAAACTAGTCGAGAAGCTTGTTCGATCTGGTTATTTTAACAGTACCGATGATTTAAACGCGTATACTTAATTTCAACAATGCTAAATATCAATGGTATGACGCAAGGATTTTCAAATCATTCCACAAGAAAGCGACAGTCAGTATCGTAGAGGATAATATCGATATTTGCAGGTCTTTATATCGTTCGTTTAAAGGATCTGTTGAAAAGCGTTATTGTTAACTGACATTCGTCCAGCCATCCACAGCATCACTTGACTCAAGGAGTACGCGTTCGTATACTATGGAATACATTTTTTAGATTTTTGAACAGTGCAAAAGTAATCACCTTTGAAATATATATACAGTACTTGTTGCTTTCAATAAACACAGAAATAAGTAAAACCGCTTATTGTGACCAATTTTCATAAAAAATTTCTCACCAAATAGGCTTCTTGCGTGCTTTTCTTTGGCCTGGTTGTTTACGTTCCGCAAACCGGTTATCCTGGGACAATAAACCAGTTACCAATAGTCTATTTTTCCCCTGATCTATCGGAAGCATTGAGGCCAAACACCTGGCTATCGCCAAACGAAGAGCATTCGCTAAACTGCTCGAACCGTCCCCGCTTACTGTAGCAATTATGTCTACTTTACCAACAGTATCTGAAAAAGTGAAGAGGTTTCTATATACTAAAATTGCATTCAGAGTTCGTGCGACATATATTGTAGCAATCATTTCAAAATCTAATAGGCTCTCACAGCTTTAGAATTCATAGGATCTGATGACAATTATAAAAAGTCTAACACTGACATTTCGCTAATCATGTGACGCAGCCGATGTGATTCCCAGAAAATAAGCGGAATGATTTTGGTATTCCCTTGCAACACCTCTTTTTTCATACACTAAATTTAGGTACGTGTAATGTATGTTATAGACAATTGTTATAAAAATCCTAGTGGTATGTGTGAGCAGATATTATCAGGCTGTTTCCCATCATAGGGAATGTATTAAATTATTTGTGTTGGTTGAGTGAAAACTGTACCAACAAATTCATTTCTGGCTTGTACCGTAAATACTTATTGTATTAGGAATGTTTATATGCAGTCTAAAGGTTTCTGCTATTGGTTCTTTTCCTTTACGAACGATCAGGTGCAACAAATATAACCCAATATGACTGGGAAGTTATTTGCTTCAGAGTAAATCTTTGCATCCTTTAACTCTCCCAGGATTTGAACAAAGTAGTAAAGGAAATTGATATGTGGACGAGAATGATAATGATTGGTTGTCTCCAAAAATTAGGCATGTAGATAGTCTGACAGGCCTTAGATAAGTTATATATGCCCCTATCCTTATTATTGAGTGTTCATTGTTGTTGTATTGTGTCGCGTTTTGGTGTGGAATATATTTAGGTCCTAGTCAGGCTAAGCACGTGTTCTTGATCTGAGTTGTGTTGAAGTCCTGTAGAATAGACACTGGAAGGGGATCTAGTGTAGATATTCGTCTAAGGTAAATTAACGTCCCATATGTGTAGGTGAAGTAAAACCGAGCGTTATAACAAAAATATTTACGAAATACGACGAATTCGTTGCTTTCTGTTCAGTTATGTCCAAGCTTAGAATGTTAGTTATTTCCAATTATTAACATATTGTTCAATTTGAAAAAATTGAGTGTCAATAACAATCCAGTTGTTCGTAGTGTGAAAGAAGTTAAAGATGAAATTGATCTCGGTCATTAGTTTTCTCTGCCATAAACTAGGACAATGGTTAGCTAATAAACTAAAACCAGTTTGTGAAGAGTTGGCTGTATGAAGTTTATTGGAAACTTGAATTCGCAAAAGTACGAGATCAAATAAACTTATGGTCTCATAAGTTGTACATTAATTGTTTACCAGTATCCTTTTGGAGTAGATAACTTACACTACTAGCCGATATTCATAAGGTATATCCACACCATAATTACAGCCCAAACTGTGCAGTTTTAATCCAACAATACATTATATCGACAAGCAGGCTATGGGAAGTCCTTTGGGATCACGACCCTTGCTGAATGATTCGTGGCAGATTTGGAAAAGACAAAATCGTTAACTGTTATCAATGAGATTTCATTTTATGTTAGATATGTTAATGACACTTGTGCAGCAATATAAATCCACCAAATGACATATTCGAAGTCTTCAATAAAGTCCATCTTTACATTGAATTTACAATGGAATATGAAACAGATGTATCCCATTTCCTTAGTTAAAGTATCCCTCAATCAGATGATGGGACATTCCAGAGGTACTTATTTGTGTCGCAGAGAAAATTGGAGTGACCAGTGCCTGAAATTACACAGCCTTTGCTCTATTAACCATAAGTATGGGTTAGGGGAAACGTTTTACCAAACCCAAGTTGTTTTCACTTGAAAAACCCAAAAAGAAACATATGGAAATAAATAATTGCCTGCACAGAAAACAGTACTAAAATAAGACGGAAACTTACAAACGCGAAAAGACAATTTTTGTTCGGTTGTGATTGAAAGGTGATCAAATCATAAGTAAAATTAATCAAACAGCCTGAAAGGTATATTTCTGCTGCGAAACTGATTTCATTTCACACAGTACTAACCAGTTGCATAAACGAAAACAGACAAACATGCATATATCATGTTGCATGTATATCGGAAGGATGGAGGGGCTACTCGTTTAACTAAAGCAAATCGGAGAAGGCAAGGGAGTCAACTCGATTTAACCAAACGTAAATCAATATTTATAGCCAGATTGAAGTAAGCTACAGACATGTGATGAGTAGGCTAAGATGTGCATATACATCGCTCATTTGAAAGGTCAGAATAAATAGGCCAATAAGTGACAAGGTCAAAACGTGCATTATACTAAGCGGTAATTGTTCTCAGTAATTTAGGTCCATCATCCTCAACTACTTTCACGCCACCACAGTTCATTTCTTCAAATTGAGCAATATAATAATAAATGTTAGTAATTAAAATTATTAGCTTGGTCATAACTGAAGAGAAAACAATGGATTCGATGTATTCTGCAGACAGTCATATCTCCTAAGTTGAGCTTTGTGAAGAAAACCCGTAGCATGAAACTCAGGGGTTTTTAACAATTTCAGTCCACTTTCGTTGGCCCATTAGGGAATTTTGCCTTTGATAATTCTCATGTGTTGAGTTACTTAAAGCCGACTGCTACTTCACCATTAAATTTAGGAGTAGATTTGTTTTATTTTATTGTCTTGTTTTTTTTTATTTACCGTAAACTGTGTAGTTTTTGGAATAAATTTTAAAAAGCTATGTGATAAATGTATTTGCTCTGTGGTAATAGTTATACACTACTTTGTGTTTGAGCTCGGATTGGCGTTAAAATAAAAGCTTATAGAAATAGTCTCATTAGACGATTGTCAACTGAGAGTAATAAGTATATATCCAAATGATTGCACTGCTTGATCGTCTACTTTCCAAGATCTGAAGAGAAGTGGTTGGGAATTATAAATTGACTTGGTTTTAGCTCGACTTCTGATCACATTAGTTCACATAGAAGGATAGAGATTTGTGCTTCTTAACCTCAAATGTCACCAAACATTTCACTGGGACTCGTAGAGAGCGAACCAGTTAAACTCGTAAGTTGATGAGATTGTAAATCTTCATTGACTGAGATGGCTGGGCCACGCGTAACGTATGCCCGAACACCGTTTACCACGACGCGCAATGCTGGCCAGTGATGGGAATGGTTGGAAGAAAGTTAGGGGTGGCCAAACCAAAACATGGCATCCGTGCTTGTGTTCACTACTGGTCTGAGCCGTGTTGGTAGATGCAGACTACTTGGTTGGTGTTCGCGTGACTGTCGTAACCAATGGTCGGAGACTCTGGGTGACATGGCTCAGAATCGGTCACAATGGCGTCGGCGTATACACTCTTCGTCTTCCCTCAAACCGTGAGATTAAAATTGCTTTATACCTTACTTTCTACCGACTAATTCTTTCTGCTTGTGCTATATCCTAATACACAATCTTTTTTATACACTACTACCAGTGAAGTATCTGCTTTTATGAATTTGGTGTTCATCTTGTTGTGCTAATGAGATGTGGCAACCTGTACCGATACATATATGCGCCTGGTCCTACGTTGTATTTGACTGCACAAAATGGGAACAAAAGAAAACAGAAAAGCGACACAATGTCGAGTGGAAACGACTGTTACCAAATAATTGTGAATATAATTTGAGGATGCGATATTTTTTCGGTTTTTATTACCATTTAATTTGTGTGTGAGTTATGATACTGTCCGTTTGCTCAAACTGTAGCACATGGTTTTCTTAGGGAGCCTGTCCCCAAATCCTTGACCTAGAAGTCTAATCCACCAGACAATAAAACAACGTTATGAGATGCAGTAACGTGGTAGCTGGTCACCAACAAATAGGTTCATACGCCATTTGATCTCTCAGAATCCTGGAGCTTAAGTGCACTATTGTTTTGGAATCAGGGATTCCTAACCATCCTAATTTGAATACTCCGTACCCACTAGCCCGGTTTAAGCACCAGACTCTGGCTGTTCATCCTCTCAGTTAATTAGGCGACACCCTGCTGCGAGACGCCAGTTAGTGAGAATTCCCTAGTAGAGACTATATACACGCGGCCATATGAGAGCATTCAAAGAGGAGCGGTATTTCTCCACTCTTGGCTGTACCAAGGCTGCAAGTAGTTAGAGAAACAGGATTTTTTCCCTAAATAATTCTATTATATATCACTTGGATCTTCA